ACTGTAAAAAGGCTAGAAAATTCTGAATTCAAATACATACACTGATTCAGAGGATTTTAAAGATTAATATACAACTGAGACCAGCGGTTTTTCTTTTGGGACTGATGGATAAACAGATGGAAAAAAGTCCTGGAACTTTGTTTTTGTACATGATAACTGCAGCAAGATTATTGTATGCACAAAGTTGGAAAGATTCAGCACTACCTACAATGGAGGAATGGTTGATGAAGATGATGGAACTTGCTGAGATGGCTAAATTGATTTTTTTGATCAGAGAAAAGACATTTTGTACATTTATTGCTGGCTGGAAACCCCTTGTGGACTTTTTGCATAAAACAGAAAAAAATGAACTTATGATTTATGGTTCTGATGATTAGACATAATAGATTATAGAAAGAAGAGAGTTATGTTGTAATCACAGAGTAAGAGGTAAATTTATAATTGTACTTATAACTGCTGAAAAGATCAGAAGTTACTTCTCTGTATCTTTTTTCCTTCTTTTCTATTTCTCTTTTACTTTTTTTCTTTCTTGCATTTTTAGCTTTCTCCTTGATTTCTTTTCTTTTTCTTACTTTATATTAGTTTGTATTAGTTTTTATTAGTTTTTATCTTCCTTTTTTAAAATCTTTTAAAAAATTATATTAAAAAAAGTAAAAGCAGAGGTGGGCAATTCAAATAATTTTCAAGGGTACTGTATTTTTTTAAAAACTTACACAAAAGTTAGATTGTTTTGTAAACTATAAAGAAATATTTCATTTTAAGTTTGTTTCCCCTCTTTTAGCCACCATTGTTCATCATCACAAGTCTCTGTCCAACCCCTTCCACTGTTTTCCTCTTTTTTTCTCTTTCTCCACTTTGTGTGTCTCTCTCTACTTAGAGAAACCTTTGTTTTGCTTGCCCATACCACTTTTTGCTCTCAGGACCTCTAGTTTTCCTATTTTACTTATTTTTTTTAATCCCATAGATCTTTTTGTACCCCTATTTGTCTACTTTAACTTCCCCATTGACTTTGCTCTTCTCTACTTTATACTTAGATTTCTTCTTCTCAGTAATTTAACTTATCAGTGCCAATTTATTTGAAGTAGTTTGTCATAACTCTTGGCACTGGATGATTCTTGGAGAAAATGTGAATATAAATCATTATCACCATCATACAGTACATATTCCTTTTCTTTGGGAAAATTATTGTTATTTTCCAGTTTTAACAGGCTATTATAATGTAAATGTCAAATTGAAATTTGTTGTCTTGGCCAGACCATAAATACGGATTATTAAACACAAAATGGACCATAATGAGCGAGTCTTTTCCACCATCGTACAGTAACCTCAGAAAGTTATTATAAATTATTGTTATATGCTTATGTTTTTACATTTGATGTGTTAAGATGTGAGCAGAATAAGAGTGACTAGAGTTATCAAGAAAAAGGAAGCTGTCTGGAAATTGCCCTTGAAAATCAACTTAGTCTGAAAAGAATCAGCTTAGCTCTTCATTCTTATCAGTATGCCTGATATATTTAGTCCTGTTACCTTCACCATTTTTTTTCAATTTGACAGATCACATTTCAAGTAAAACGTGTAAAGAAACACAAACCAGAAAATACAGACCCACAAGAACCTGCTGGAAGAAATGGAGAGGAAGGAGTAGCTGGAGAAAATGAAAACCTTTACCAAATGGCATTGGAAATCACTGGGCCAAAAATACCTTCCCCTGGGCCACCTGGTAATATGTTTTTCTTTTAAGAACAAGACTGATACTTTTTCAGAACATCAGGATACATTTGATTCACACTTTAAATAAGTGGTGATAAAAGTATACTGCATACATTGTGCAGTGAAATTCTGTGCATGTTCATTCATAGATACTGTACGTCCCAGAACACATGAAAGGGCTTATTGCCAACTACATGTGTCTAGCTTTGCAACCTTGGCCTCTTTGACAGAGGGGAACAAGCAAAATCCTGTCCTGCGAGGAAACGGTAGCATTTCATTATAGTTGGTAAAATAATATTTGTTTTTGTGTGACAGGGTGCAAATTTTCCCAATAACCAAAATAAAAATAATGTCCATAAAACTAGCCAGAATGAAAGTATAATTGAAGTTCTTCAGTTTTAACAGATAACTCTGCAGTTAATTAAAAAAAGACAGCTTCAGAGCATTGATATGCTCTGGGTTGTTTCAGACATTTGTTAAGACCCGCTGTACTTTAGATTTTGACAAAACACTAAATTTCACTGTAAGTACTGTGAATGAAAGCTTCCCATTTCACCCCTGTGGCTATGTTGATGGAAGAGTAGGGAGAGTGTACAAGAAAAAGGACTTACCAAGCTAAGCATAGATACACACACACACACACACACACACACACACACACCTCTAACTGGAGAGCCATTGCATGTTTGATGCATGTTTGACTAGGATTGTGAAGACCTAGTTTCAGATCACCTTCAGCCATTGAAGTCCACTGGATGACTTAGAGCCAGTCAAAACCTTCCTCGGAGGCTTATTGTGGGGTAAAATGAAAGGAGAATTATTATTATTATTGCTGTGTATGCCACCTTGAGTCTCCAGAAGAAATGTGAGATATGAATCTAAAAAATAAATAAATATTCATCATAATGTTTCCTTTCAGAGTAAGTAACATCAGGAGTAAGAAATAAAAAGACAAAGAAAAAAGCACAGCTAAACTAGTTCAAATTAAACTAGTACAAACCAGAATCATTTACTATACCTCTCCACACCTTTCTGTCCCTGAAAACCATACATATTTCTATCATGTTCATACACCAATTCACATATTGCCTTTTTTCTTTCTCTACTCTTTCTTTTTAGGATCTCATCAATTCTACTCACAATTTCTGCTTAGCCTTCTCCCTTCTCTTGATTCATTCATTCTTCCTTCAAGTATTTATTTTTTAATTCAGCCTCATTTATTCTCCTACATGACCCAACCACCTCAAAGTGCTTCTTTCACACTGGTCACTCACTTTTATATTCAGTACATTTTAGTTCAGCAACCATTTCTTCTTGACCCCATCTCTTCTTGTTCTACCACACATACTTATTAAATACCCCATTCCCACTGTGTTCAAATTACTTTTATGTTTCTCTTGGCATACCCAACTCTCATTTTGGCATAATGAAGTGGGCAAAAGCTCTTTGCAGCCATTTTCATTCCTCTTGGTAAACATTCATTCCTCATAACAGACCACATATTACCTACTGCTTTTCCTCCAGCCTTAGCACACACATGCCTGGAGGGCCATTGGAGGAAGACAAAGAGTGGATATGACTGAAGATGAGTAAGAGCCCATATATCAGGCCTACATCTTGGTGATAAGCGTGGTGAAATGTTATTTCTCTACCCTTATTGGGTCCTCCAATAGCCACCCTGCAGCCCTATTTAGGGAGACCTGTTCCCTGTTTGGAAGGTATGAGCCACAGGATTATCTACAGAGCTGTGGGGAGGAGTAATCATGCTCTCTGGAGGACAGAATCACTCATATTCACTTGGAGTTGGATCCTGACCAGGCAGATCTGAGTGGGTTGCATGGGCCACAGTCTCCAGATGTTATCTGGACTGAGTTTGATTCTGTGACTCCTGATGAAGTGGACAAGGTCCTCCGTACTGTAAGTTCAGCCACTTGTCTTTAGACCCAGGCTCCTCCTGGGTTATTAAGGAGGCCCAGGAGATGACCTATAGGTGGGTCTGTGCAATAGTATCAGCCACTCTAAAAGAGTTGATTCTCCCAGTCTTGACGGGGGTGCTGGCCCCCCCCTTCTCAAGAGGCTGTCATTGGACCCCTTCATCCTGGAAAGTTATTGTCCAATCTCCAACCTTCCCTTTGTGGGGAAGGTTGTTGAGAAGATTGTCAGGCAGTTATTGCAGAGGGTCTTACCTGGATTATTTGGATCTGCAGATTATCTGGATCTGTTCCAGTAGGTTTTCAGGCCAAGTATAGTACAGAGACAGTGTTGGTCATGCATGTTAATGACCTATGGCATAATCGGGATGAGGGTGGTGCATTCATTCTTGTGCTCATTTCAATAGCTATTTTTGCAATATTGTCAACCACAGTATTTGCAGGGATTGGGAGTGGGGGATTATGATGTTGCAGTGCTTTGCTTCATTCCTCAGTGGTTGGTTCCAGTCAGTATTGAGAGGTGGGAGAGATCACACCCATGGCCCCTCAGTTATGGGATGCCCTATGGTTTGATACTCTCAGCCCTCCTGTTTAACATCTGCATGAAATCACTGAGGTCATCCATTAGTTCAGGATTTGGTATCATCAGTAGAGATAGTCCTCAGTTAATGATCACTCATTCAGTGACCATTCAAAGTTATAACAGCACTGAACAAGTGGTAGTTACATCTGGTCCTCAAAGTTCCAGCTGTCCCAGCACCCCCACAGTCACGTGATTGTGATCTGAATGCTTGGCAGCCAGCTTACACAACAGTTGCCGCATCCCACGATCATGTGATCACAATTTGTGACCTTCCCTGCCGGCTTCCCTTTGGAAGCCAACAGGGAAGGTCACAAGTTGCTCAGATAAGTCTCCCCCACACATACACCCTTCCCCAGTCGCTCAGCACTTGCGCTGCACCTCACCAACCACCTGCACACCTTCACACACCCTCCCTGAGCCCTGCTGCACTCACACCATGTCTCCCTGGCTATTTGCACATTCTCCCAGAGCCTGCTGAGATCACACCATGCCTTCCCAGCCACCCGCGCACTCCATCTCTCCCTCTCCTACCTGACAGCCACTTACCTGCTTGCTGGCCTGATTGCAAGCCACCTGGGACTTGCAACTTCCTGCCAGCTTCCCTACTGACTTTGGTTGTTGGAAGCCAGCAGGAAGTTGCGAAGAGGGTCTCGCTTAATGACCCATGATCCTCACTTAACAATGGCAACAGGGGCTGCAGGGATTGCCGTCGCTAAGCAATGCGGTCATGTGACATTGTGCTTTACGACTGCATCACTTAGTGACAGAAATTCGGATCCCAGTTGCCGTCGTAACTCGACAGCTATCTGTATCCAGATGATAGTTACACAAGTCAATCCTGGGCTGTGTAAGTGACACTGTCAATGTACTGACCCAGCATCTGGAATCTGTTCGGGCCCAGTTAGGGAAGAACAGACTTCAGCTCAATCCTGACAAGACTCAGTGGGTGTGGTTGGGAATTTTTTTCACCTTTAATCTTGGATGGGGTTCCACTTCCCCATTCAAGACTATTACACAACATGGGGGTTCTCCTGGGCTCCCAGCTACTGCTTGAAGAGCAGGTGGCAGCTGTGACCAGGAGGCCCTTCAGACAGTCACTCATGCCCTAGCCGTCTCACATGCTACAGGTAGTCCTTGGTTTATGTCCATTCGTTCAGTAGCCATTCAAAGTTTCAGCGGCACTGAAAAAATGGATGTACAACCAATCCTCAAAGTTCCGGCCATTGCAGCATCCCCGCAGTTATATGATCGCAATCCAGGTGCTCAGTGCCCGACTCATGATTATGGCATCACAGGGAGCCACAGTCACGTCTTGCAACCTTCCCTGCCGGCTCCCCACAAGCAAAGTCAATGGGGAAGCCACCAGGGAAGGTCGCAAGTTGCTCCTGCTTTTTCTTTCACCCACAGCATTCCCGCTCCAACTCACGCACAGCCTGCACCAGCCCTCCCAGGGCCTCCCCCATGGCACCCCCACGCTCCATACCTGGGACTCTTGCCTCTTTCCACCTAATGACTCATGCGTCTTGTGGTTATGATGCAACCAGGACTGCCTGGAGTGTCATCGCTAAGCAATGAGGTCATGTGAGGTGGCGCTATACGACTGCACTGCTTAGTGATTGTAATCTCAGTCCCACTTGCCATCATAAACTGAGGACTACCTATATGGCATGCGACTGCAAGGAGATGGGGCAAGTATGCTGGGTAGGTGCAAGAAGCAGCAAGGTGGTCATTCAGAAGGAAGATGTGCTTCTGCAGAGAAGGAGGACAGGTCCATTGGCTGGATGTGGGACAGCAGCATAGAGGTACAGCAGTAAGGGGGAAGAAAGCACTGGAAAGATTGGCAAGGAAACTGGTACACAGACCTGCTGAGGGAGGGAAAGAGGGATGAGGAACGCCATCCATGCCATATCTTTTTTGCCTATTAATACTATTACAGACTTGCTTTAACTGAAACCTAGATTAACCTAAATTATTTGGGTGCCATTTTGGCAGGACCAAGTCCCACCCAGAATGGTCCAGAGACTTTTTGAGGCACAAGATGTTTGCTTTTAGTATAGAGCAACGCACATGTTTTGTTTCTTGCACATTCATAAAATACAGCCTTTTAAAAAGCTTTTTTATTTCTTTGGTTCACAGTCCATACCTATGCTTTTGCTCCTAAGATAGAATCAGATAATCATGAACTCTAGCTGTGCTTTTTAGCCTGTACTGTTCCAATAGTTGAACTTCTCACTATAGAAAAAGAATTAAGAAAATTGAAATGATTCTTCTTTTTCAAAAGACTTGCTTGCTTCCTTGCAGGAAGAAAGAAAGACTATCGTAGCTTGGGCTGGCCAAGTCCTGATGAGTGCATTAAGTTCCGCAGAATGGATCTTACTACAGTAGCCAGCACATGGCTAGCTGTTTCTGCTAAAAATATTGAGTGAGTACTTTTGCTATAAACAAAATTAGGTCAGTACATAACTAGGACAGATATGTATGGCTTAAAATATTCATCCTAATGGGCTGGTCCACCAAGCTGCAACTGTTCTGTAGTCTTTCACTTACTTTGACAATGCTATTATTGGAGTTAATAGTACAATCCATAGAAGTCTGAGCTTCTGTGAGTGTCTGTGTTCTAATGTCACACATGTCATCTCCAGCATTATGTACTATCCTGCAGAACCTCATGACTTATTACTTAATGGCTTCAGAAATGAGTGGAAGTCAGCAGTGGTTTAATCAAGTTATGTCCAAAACAAACTCTGAAGGGTTCCAGGAATATGTCTTCAAATGAGACGAAGAAATATCAAGGGTGATTGTAAAATGTGCAAAGTGATGCACTGCAGGAGGCAGGGGGAATTGTAATTTCACATCTATTTTGAATTGGTTGTGACAACCTAAGAAAATATACAGTACTGTGCAAAACTTTTAGCAGGTGTGAAAAAATGCTGTAAAATAAGAATGCTTTCAAATATATATATAATTGTTTATGTTTATCAATTTACAAAATGCAAAGTGAGCAAACAGAAGAAAAACCCAAATCAAAATTTGGTGTGACCACCCTTTGTATTGTAATTGTTTATGTTTATCAATTTACAAAATGCAAAGTGAGCAAACAGAAGAAAAACCCAAATCAAAATTTGGTGTGACCACCCTTTGTATTGTAATTGTTTATGTTTATCAATTTACAAAATGCAAAGTGAGCAAACAGAAGAAAAACCCAAATCAAAATTTGGTGTGACCACCCTTTGCCTTCAAAACAGCATCAATTCTTCTAGGTACGCTTGCACACAGTTTTTGAAGAAACTCGGCAGGTAGGTTGTTCCAAGCATCTTGGAGAACTAACCACAGATCTGCTGTGGATGTAGGCTGCCTCAAATCCTTCTGTCTCTTCATGTAGTCCCAGTCAGACTCGATGATGTTGAGATCAGGGCTCTGTGCAGGCCAAACCATCACTTCCAGGACTCCTTGTTCTTCTTTACACTGAAGATAGTTCTTAATTACATTGGCATTGGCAAGGGAAGTAAGCATGATGTATCTTCCATCTGCTGCATTCAGTTTCCTTGGCCAACCACTACATCTACAGTCCTCAACGTTGCCCATTTCTTTGTGCTTCTTCAAAAGAGCTTGAACAGCACATCTTGAAACCCCAGTCTACTTTGAAATGTTTGCCTGGGAGAGACCTTGCTGATCCAGTATAACAAGTATAACCTTGTGTCTTGTTCCTGCACTCAGTCTTGCCACAGTGTATGACCTGTGACGTGACATGACACTGTCTTCCACAACCTCACCTTAATAGCAGAGTTTGGCTGTTCCTCACCCAGTTTTAAGCCTCCCACACAGCTGTT